TGCGGGAGGGGCTGCTGGGGGCAGGATTTCCTGAGGTCGTCCGTTCATTCGTTTACTCTTCATTCACTCATCACACCTCTGCCTTGGGGCAAGTCCCCGCATTCTCCTCGCTGTGGAGGGGGAGGAGGGCGGAGAAGAAAAGATAAAAGTACCGGCCAGGTCACGTAGGAGTGGGAGTGAAATTAGCATTTAAATAGCATTCGTTGAGCTCTTAGATCTACTGCATTATCTCATCCAATTTTCACAACCCAGTTTACTGACCACTAGCTAAGGCTAAGAACAGCCCAACTTACTGTGCCTTACCTGTAAGTTTTGGGGAGACTGAGGACGTGAAGGTTGACCTCCAGAATAGTCATCCTCTGTAAGGAACCCCCGCCCCCCAATACACCTGCCTGTCCTTCCCTCCCCATAGCCAAACCATCAAAATTCCAATTGGTTGTCTCCAAACTAAAGCCTGAATTCAGCTGCTGCTCTCTCCATCTCCTGGCTAAAATCCCAGCTGGTCACATCTTTCCTACCAAGTGATCTGTTGGAAATGTAAAATTATTCATAATTTTACATTACAAACAGTTTCCAAATATGCTTAGCCTAGAATGCCAGCTCGTCCCTCGCGTGGCCTTCACACCCTTGCACGCAGCATTCCCTACCTGGAAGCTTCGGGTCTCAGCCCGGGACCCTTCCTCTGAAAGGCCTTCCCCTGCCGGTCACTCTATTTATAGCTTCTGTATTACCGAACATTATCCTCTCTATTCTTTCCTTGTTTATTTCTGTCTGCATCTCCAAAATGTAACCTGAGTGAGGGCAGGGACTGTATTCTTCTTGTTAACAGATGAGTTCCAGCGCTTAGAACAGGGAGCTTGCTGGGTAAGAAAGAGAGAAAGCTCGTAATTTTAAATCATTTACCCACACAGCAACTCCCTGTCGGGATCCCAAATGAATCCCCAGGGAGAGGTGCACCGCGTAACAGCTTCCAAACCACAGGGTGATCCTGCAGTTACAGAGCAAATTCTAAACTCAAAACACGGTGGGACAGTACTTGCAACTCGCCCAGGGGGCCAGCAGGTGGCGCGCGGAGGCCGCCCACCGCCTTGCTCTGCAGCGCTGCCTGCACTTCCCAGCTTGCCGGTCGAAATCCACCCGGAAGTACTGCTGCGGTCCTGGTGAGTGTTTTCCCCTTCCCGCCCCCCTATCGACCGTGTTCGCGGGGTTCGCAAGCTGCGCAGATGCCGAGATTTTAAAGAGAACCCTGGGCACCCCCGCCCCACGCAAGTGTTAGAGTTATTTTCTCATCAGAATTCCGGTACTTGCCTATGGGTCAGTTGAACTGTTTACATGTAGATTAAGAATCACATCCAGCTCTAGCCGGTGTGGCTCAGTGGATAGAGCGTGGGCCTGCGGACTGAAGGGTCCCGGGTTCGGGTCAAGGGGACATGCCCGGGTGGGCGGCTGGATCCCCAGTGGCGGGCGTGCGGGAGGCAGCCAATCAATGATTCTCTCTTTATCTCCCTCTCCCTTCCTCTCTGAAATCAATAAAAGGGGGAAAAAGAATCATATCCACTTGAGGGTCACTATACTGCTTCCCTATTTGATTTTAATATGGTGTGGGCAGGGCAGGCGGCTAGGGTGAAAGGGAGATGGACACACTGCTTTTCTGATGACTTTACAGTAGGCAAGCCCCTTACTTTCTCCTAGTGTTAGTTTCCCCATCTGTAAATTTGCCTGTACAGTGTGAATGGGGGGGGGGGGGGGGGGGAGAGGGGCTGTGTCTATAAAAATACAGGTGCTTGCCCAGACGACCTGGCTCAGTGGTTGAGCATCAACCTATGAACCAGGAGGTCACGGTTCCATTCCAGGTCAGGGCACATGTAGAGGTTCCAGGATTGATCCTCAGTGGGAGGCGTGCAGGAGGAAGCTGATCAATGATTCTCTCTCATCATTGATGTTTCTATCGCTCTCTCCCTCTCCCTTCCTCTCTGAAATCAATAAAAGTATATTTTAAAAAACTTCCAGGTGCTTGCGGGAGGAGTGCAGGCATTTGGGTCTTTGCAAGCTAGCCAGCTGATTCCAGCATAGCCAGGTGCGGGAGGCTCTGGGCTGGACCAGATCATCCCAAGGGACCAACCATCCCAGCTGTAACCCTCTACTTCCTTCCTAGCACATGGTGTTAAACTTTAAAATGGAAACTTGAAAACAACAAGGAGGAATGCTGCTGTGGATCACTTGGCCATAGAGCACAGTTTTGCATCCGGGACAGAGCCTGGGCCGTGTCTCTCTCTCTGCCCCACCACTGACTCCCAGGTCTTTGCTCTGTGGACACAGGATGGACAGATTCCTGGTGAAGAGGGCTCTAGGGGGCCTTGTGGGAAAGAGGGAGCAGGAGCAGACAGGAGCCGGCCCAGCTGAGTTGGGAGAAGACGAGGAAAGCACCAGGAAGAGGCCCAGGAGAGAAACGCCGGGGAATGGTGCTGACGTGGCCGGCCTCAGCTGGCGACGCATTCGATCCGAGGGCCTGGACTGCGATTACACAGTCCTGTTTGGCAAAGCCGAAGCGGACGAGATTTTCCGAGAGTTGGAGCAAGAAGTGGAATATTTTACAGGTAAACAGAGGACTGCAGGGTGTGTGCTGAAGGCTTGCTGGATAAAACTAGTCTATGTTTAGAGAAATCGGAACTCAGGAGCCATTAATTACTGATGAGTTTGTTAATTGATTCAACACATATTCTCTGAGCCCCTGTGGACCAAGATCCTCGCTAGGCGCTTGGGATAAAAACTTAAAACAAAAAAAACCAGGATTGCCTGCCCACCGGGGGCTGACAGACAACTAGAATGAATCTCCATTGGGAGAATCATCTGGGAAAGTTGAAAAAAGAAAAAAATGCTGAGTTCTGACCGAGATCAGTTGAATCGGAGTAGCTGGGGGCGCAGCCTGAGCATCAGTGTTTTCAGAAAGCTGCCAGGTGAATCCAACGTGCAGCCAGGGCTTGATATCACTGCCCCAGGAGAGACAGCAAATGGCCTGGTAATTCTGCAGTGCTCTCAGCATCACCAGAGGACTCTGTGGCTTGTGTTAACTATGGTGGCTGGGCCCCACCTCACAGTCTAGTGTCTGAATTCTCAGGTCATGTAGAGGCTGCTGGGGTACCACGCAGTGAGAACCACCAAGGTGGCAGAGCACTGAGAAGCTTAGGAAAGCCCATAGGGGACCCCAGCCTACAGACTAAGCTGTATTGGCCCCACCTTTCAGGGGGTCTCCACAGTGAGCAAAATCACCCCTGTCAGTGTGTATCACCCCTAACTTTATCTCGCTCACTTCTCAGCCTCTTTATTCTGTTCCTACTGTAGTTAAGGCGATTAAGTTATGGTGTTTTTAAAGTAATTGGAGTAGGACCATGTTTCTCTAAGTATAGGACAAGAATCGCTGTTCTTTTTTTAAAAAAAAATATTTTTATTGATTTCAGAGAGGAAGGGAGAGAGAGAGATTAGCTCTCACTCCCTTCCTCTCTCTAAAATCAATCAGTCAATAATTTTTTTTTTTTAAGTTATCCTGCATACTCAGGTAGTGAGTGTGTAGGCACCCACCTGCCCAGGTTTCTGAGCTGCCATGCTTCATCTGCAGGTGCGCTGGCCAAGGTGCAGGTGTTTGGGAAGTGGCACACCGTGCCAAGGAAGCAGGCGACGTACGGCGACGCTGGGCTGACCTACACGTTTTCAGGCCTCACTCTGTCTCCAAAACCCTGGATCCCCGTTCTAGAGCGAGTCCGGGATCGTGTTTCTTTGGTGACTGGTCAGACCTTCAACTTTGTGCTCGTTAACAGGTGATGCCCTACTTGTTTTTTACTTTTGCTTTAGGCCACTGCACTGAATTTTATCCATCTCTGCCTCTTCAAAAGGGAGAGTTTAGGATTCCTCCATATTTGATTCCTTTGCACAACGGGTAACTCCTTCGTGCACAGGGCTGTGGTTGGTGGTGGTGTGGCAGGAACAGTAGGTCTTCCTGGAGCTCATGCCGCAGGGGAAGGGAGAGGTGATTCACAGATGAACAGTTGAACGAGATAATTTCAGACGCTGATAAGTGTCTTGCTGATTTGACCGAGAATGGCCGGCAGGAAGGGGTCTGGGTTCAGGTCAGGGTTTCTCAACAGGATGTTTTGGGCCAGATAATTGTGTGGTGCGGACTGTCCTGTATATTGTAGGAAGTTGAGAGCAGCATCCCTGGCCTCCACCCACTAGATGTCAGTAGCAACCCTCCCGTCATAGCAACCAAAATGTCCCCAGACATTGCCCAGTCCCAGGGTGGGGCAGAATCCTCCAGGTTGAGAACTCTGGGTTTAGGGGATGGCGGTGAGAGGAGGGCTCACAGAGGCGCTGACTTTTGCACTGATAACTGAATGGAGAGAGAGCAGGAGCCACACAGCCACTGGGGGGAAGGGCAGAGGGATCTTGGTGTCTATAGAGTGAAAATCCCATTGATATTTCCAGAAAGCAGTGAATGAGGGAAAGAGGTCTGGGGTGAGCTCAGAGGTGGGCAAGGGCCAGACTGTGAAAGAAATAAGGATTTTATCTAGGTGTAGGGAGAGACTTTGTTATTAATCCTCACCTGAGGATATTTTTTTCCATTGATTTTTAGAGTGTGTCTCAACAAAATGTTTTGGGCCAGATAATTGTGTGGTGCGGACTGTCCTGTATATTGTAGGAAGTTGAGAGCAGCATCCCCGGCCTCCACCCACTAGATGTCAGTAGCAACCCTCCCGTCATTGCAACCAAAATGTCCCCAGACATTGCCCAGTCAGCGAGGGCTGACACTCTAAACACTGGCCGGGGCAGGGAGAGACCTTTTCATGAGAAAGGTTTACATATGTGAACGGGGAGAACTAGAAAACATGTTTTGGCTTCTATTGGTTGTTGACTTTTAAAAGCATGTGATCAACGAGGACTGGGTAACACAGTGGAAAGGCTCTAGGCGTGGCTCACCTGCAGGACCAGGTAAGGCCTCGCAGAAACTGGCATGCTGGGAGCGGCTTGAGACTTTGTTATTAATCCTCACCTGAGGATATTTTTTTCCATTGATTTTTAGAGTGTGGAATGGAGGGAGGGGGGAAAAAAGAGAGGGAGAAACATTGATGTGAGAGAGACACTTCAATTGGTTTGCCTCCTGCATGTGCCTGACCAGACTGGGGAATTGAACCTGTAACCCAGGTACGTGCCCTTGACCGGGAATCGAACCTGCAACCCTTCCGTGTGAGGGCTGACACTCTCAACACTGGCCAGGGCAGAGAGTGATCTTTTCATGAGAAAGGTTTACATATGTGAACTGGGAGAACTAGAAAACATGTTTTGGCTTCTATTGGTTGTTGACTTTTAAAAGCATATGATCAACGAGGACTGGGTAACACAGTGGAAAGGCTCTAGGCGTGGCTCACCTGCAGGACCAGGTAAGGCCTCGCAGAAACTGGCATGCTGGGAGCGGCTTTTCACGGGGAGAACATGAGGATGTTCCATATTGGCGTGTTTCAGGAGCGAGCTGTGCTGTGAGCTGTGCCTGCTTCCTCACTGCAGGTATAAAGACGGCTGCGACCACATTGGGGAACACCGAGATGACGAAAGAGAACTGGCTCCTGGGAGCCCCATCGCCTCCGTCTCCTTTGGGGCCTGCAGAGACTTCTTCTTCCGGCACAGAGATGCTCGAGGGAGGAGCCCCTCCCGGAGGCTGGAGGTGGTCAGGCTGCCGCTGGCCCACGGGAGTTTACTGATGATGAACCACCCGACCAACTCTCACTGGTATCACAGTCTCCCCGTCCGCAAGAAGATTCTGGCTCCGCGCGTCAATCTGACCTTTCGTAGAATTCTGCCTACTCGAAAGTAAAAGTATTTTCCAGTTAGTACTTCTGTTTTCTCCTTTCCTCTCTACTCGAGGATGGAGCTGACATTGCCTTTACCAACAGGGAAAGAAAAGGTTTAACATTACATAACAATTCAGAAGAGGATGTTTATATCACATCAGTACATGATGAAATAGCCCTGGCTCAGTCGGTAGGAGCGATGTTCCATACACTGAAAGGTCCCAGGTTCGATTCCTGGCCAGAGCACATGCCTAGATTGCAGTTTCGATCTCTGGCTCCAGCTGGGTGCATGGTCAGGGCAAGTGTAGAAGGCAACCGATCAATGTTTCTCTCTCACATCGATGTTGCTCTCATTCTCCTTTCCCCTCTCTCTAAAAACCAATGAAAATGTCCTCGGGTGAGGATTTAAAAAAATAAAATATGAAAGAATACCAGTTGATTTTTTCCTGAAAATGATTCTTTTATTGCTATAATACACAGCAGATACAAAAGGTACCTTTAGCAAGTACATAAATCAGTTATTATGGCATAAACTACTACTTTAACTTAGGTTTTTGCAAAAAGAAGCTGTTTTGTAAATAACTTAAAACTAGAAATAAGATTATTTGGCCACTACTTAATGCTTGATAATTTACAAAATGAGGAAGTCAGCTTTAAGTCGAGTTAAGAGACTCTGCACAGTATCATTTTACAACCTTGGCTCGCACCCAGGCCTCTGACCAACAATCTGCTTACAACGTGTTCAAAGGATCAGCCCTTCAGTGCCCGGCATCTCTAACGGCAGGTTTCAAAGAGAAGCAGTGGCAGAGCAGCAGTTACTCAAAGCTACAGGTTTGCAGTGCAGTTTAAGGTCACACGATTGGGTATCTGTTCCACCAGCCTCGGGTAACACAGGTAGGTACGCTTGTTTCAACATCAAAGCCAGGGTCTGCCACGGAATCAGGAGGGAGCAGCAGTGAATGGATGGACCCAACACTTCCAGCTGCTCCCTTCACCTCGCCGGCCATGACCTGGAGAACCTTCACAGTATGTTCTATCCGTGATGAGAGTCTGCGTCCTCAGGATGTGAGCTGGGCCTGGTGGGAGCGTGGCCTCTTGAGCTTTTAGCTGACACCGAGGCATTGTCTAGAAGTGTCCACCTGCTCGCCCCCACCAGAGGAAGTGCAGGTCCTAAACTTACCTCAGGTGGCCTTGTGGGTAGGTCTGATTCCAAATCTTCTCTCTGAAGAGTCCATACGAATTTGGTATCCTTTTTCTTTTTTTTAATACAAAAAAAAATCTAGCTAAAACACAGATGCTCCCGTGTCATCAAAATGCCTTCGGCCCTGGTCTGTGTTCGTGAGACTTACCTGAAGAGGGAAGAGAATGCTCACCGCAGTCTCTCTGTATTAGGCTGCTGGGAACAAATACATTTAGAATGTGGACCTATAACAGAATGACAATACTAGGTGTCAGCTGAGTTCTATGTTTAAAAAATAACCTGGACATCTTTTTGTGGAAAAGCCTGGCCTTGGATGGTCACTGAATCTAACCCTTCACCATATGATGCGGAAACAGGTCCATGGAGACTGCAGCCCCGGGGTCAGTGCCTTTCCTTCCGGATCAGGCTCTCAGATCCAGGCAGGGCTGTCTTCTTACGCAGCCCCGGCCCCACCTGTAAGTCTTACGAGCTCCGCACGAGCAATAAATAAATGGATGAGAATAACCGTCCAACTGGGTCTCTGTGAGAAAGGGTCTTCTACAAAGCAGAGGGGTCACAGGTGAGCCGATGCCGCTCAGTTCTGGCTGTTCAGGTGGGTGTATAACCCACCCAGTCCCATACTGAAGGTAAAAGCAACAAGTGAGCCGGTCACTAGCACCGACGCGGTCGTGAACAGGTTCCCCAAGGGGCAGATTTGGCAGATGAGCTTTCACTGGATATAAAGGGTCGGAAGGCTAGAAAAAGACGTACAAAAAGGAAAGGCAGGTGTTCTGTAGGCATCCGTCACCTGTCCTTCAGCCAGCCACTGAGAAACCTGGAAGAGAGCTTTTCAAAAAGTGTTGCTGCGGCTCTTAGAGCAAGTGCGTTTTCCAGAATGGACATGCTACAAAAGCAACCGGAAGTGAAAGGCACTTTTTCTTCTAAATTGTTGCCTTCAATAATTTCACTAACTCTTGTCAACAATTTGCAGATGGGCCTGCTTATTCAAAATAAAAGATCTGTGCTGAGACATCAGAGGACGTGACAAAGTTAACGCCCCTCTGCGAACACCTAGCATATCAGGATATAAAAACGATGTCTCCCGGAGTCTAATTTCTTTTAATCACCTGTATCAGGTGAGCAAAAAGGTGCTCTAGACATACGAGTGCTCTGCTAACACGACGAGGACACCTTGCGGTGCGCACGAGCGAGCGGCACCGGGCGGTTTGGTTTGCGTTGGGGCCACCTGCTCCCCGGGGGAACTGCTCTCAGAACACACCAGGAGGCGGGGACTCTCGTGGGGCTGCCTGCACACCCGCGGCCTGGCTTCGTCTTTCTCCTGACGGCGTGGACAGTGCCATCAGGTCTCGCTCTGGGGCCGGCACAGTCACTCTTCCGACTTGTACTCCCGACTCTGGTGCATCTTGGAAAGCACGCGCTCGTAGAACAGCAGGTAGGCGCTGGAGGACAGGACCTCCTGCAGGCTGGCCTTGCGGACGGTATCGTCGGAAATCCACAGCCACTGGTTGCTGGTCGAGAGGGGGTTCTTGGCCGAAGGTGGGGACCGTCGGTAAGTCACGAAGTGTCCGGAGTGCATGTCTCCATGGTGGACGACAACTGCCATCAGCCGGAAGAGGTACGTGGAGGAGCTGAACGGTAGGAACAAATGCCAGTGGTTTACAAAAGCAAGAAGTAAAACAATCCTAGATATTCAACAACAGGGGGCTGATACAATGGTACATCCGTACAAGTGAATGCTACACAACCATTAAAATACAGACCTATATTTACTGGTACAATGCCCATTCTATGAGTGTCTGTACAAGTGCGCGCACACACATTACAGAGTGGAAGACGTTAAGGACTTAACTGGTGATCTAGGTGTTATCCCAAGATATTAAAAATTTTCTGCTTTATACTTTTTCTACATACATTCATACATGTATGCACACATACACATATATTTAAATTTTATAATTCTTATATTTATAGTGACTTCCATTTTGGACAGAAATAAACAGGAATGCATAATAATGAAGTTCCACCTATAAATGAAAGACAGCCATCTCCACACTCATTCACTTCCTGAAGAGCTAATTTTGGAAACCCAGAGAAACAGCAGCCTCCACGGAATGAAGGCTGCCTCTGAAGAGCGGCTCACCTGTAGTCCGGAACCACCGGGAGGGGGAAGGGCATTGGGGCTGGCAGGGTGGGCAACAAAGATGGGGAGCAGGCACCATTCATAAAAATTTGGGTTTTGGGGCCCCCTGGCTGATTCAGAACTGCAAGAGAAAAAGGCCCGAGGCAGTTAAAATTAGCAACGGGTGTGGGTAAGCAAAACATGGGTTTGATTACTGATTACGCTGAAATGTAACTACCCAATAATGCTACGAAGAAAATATACTTATATATATTTTTTAAATATACCTCCTGCACTCCCCCTACTGGGGATGTGCCCGCAACCAAGGTACATGCCCTTGACCGGAATCGAACCTGGGACCCTTCAGTCCGTAGGCTGCAGGCCGATGCTCTATCCACTGAGCCTAAATATTTCTTTTTGTTACTGTAAAGTTTCCTGCCTTTTTGTCCCTGTTTTAATCACCAACAGGAAAAGCACATGGAGCTCCGGGTCCACTGTTCACTTTGGTGGTTTTGTAAATCACTGTCTGCTTAAGGGCCCGGGTCAGAATTAAGCAGTAGCTACGTTACTGGCATTTTGACCTAAACCTGCAGTTTCTCAACCTTGACATGATCGACATTTGGGATGGATAATTCTTTGTTGTGGGGCTTCCCTGTGCATTGCAGGATATCTAACATCATCTCTGGCCTCTACCTACTACATTCCTGTGACACCCCTCTCGGCCAGAAATGTCACCAGCCACGGCCCAATGTCCTCTGGGAGGCAAAATTCCTTGTTTCGAACCACTGACCTAAACTTTCTCTCTCCTTTCATTGTCAGCTTCTAAGGAATACCAACATGTAACAGTGTTCACACATGCTCATGGGAGTAGGTACAATAATTAAGGAGATATTTACATCTCGTTTCCTCTCAAGTGTCACATGGGAGGGGCTTTAAGTACAAGGAGTTCACTGTTGGCCTCTTTAACCATGGCCACCACGGGGTGACCGTGAGCAGACCTGCACTCCCACCCGGGAAGACGGTCGGGACTTGAGTGGGAGCATGAGGTGCTATTTACATCTCGTTTCCTCTCAAGTGTCACATGGGAAGGGCTTTAAGTACAAGGAGTTCACTGTTGGCCTCTTTTAACCATGGCCACCACGGGGTGACCGTGAGCAGACCTGCACTCCCACCCGGGAAGACGGTCGGGACTTAAGTGGGAGCATGAGGTGGTGGTTCAGGCGTGGAGCGCTTAACATCGGTGGGCTTCCTCATCTCTAACTCTAAAGCTCTCTACAGATGATATCAGATGCATTTATAACACTGCCCAACACTGCCTTCTAGTGCCCATTCCCTGCTGTTGGCCTGGGGACCAATCATTTCACCTCTTGACGCCTTGATTTTCTCCTCGGTGAGACTGAGGGTGATAATAGTGACCTGCTTCACTGGGACCCCATTCAACGAGGGACCTCAAGTGAGGCCAGTAATGGAATTAGATAATAAATAAGTCATTCAGTAGAGGAGAAGCATCAACCCCAATGAGATGTTCAGTGATCTCTACCCAGGACATTTCTTCCCCACACTTTCTGTATAATTGAGTTGACTGTGCTCAGGGGGGAAATAGAAATTCACTGGGCCTGGCTGGTGTGGCTCAGTTGGTTGGGCATCGTCCCCTGCACCGAACGACCACAGGTTCCACTCTCAGTCAGGGCACACGTCCAGGCTGCGGGCTTGATCCCCA